AAGGAAAAATCCGCTCATATTCAAAATTCAAACTTCTGGAAGTGCTTTAAGTCTGAAATTATTCCATCCTGTTCAATAAATGATCAGTGTTTTTAATTGAGTAATTTTCATGTGAATGTGCTTTACTGGAGGCATCCATGTTTGTCAAAGAACACTACTGCCACCTACTGGTTAGTGACGTCACGGTGCGGTATCGGCTGTTGATCAAGTCCCAGTTTACAGGAAGGGAAATCGCAGATATTTCCCTGCAGTTTGGCCTCGTTTTACACCAAAACCCAGTTTTATGATGCCCTGTCCACAGGGATAAACGGCGTTTTAGCTTCTTAAACGTCACATTATGCACCAGAAAATCCTCAACGTCACGTAAACAATGTTTACAGTTCATTATTTATGCAGCGTATTTATGCAGGTTGATGTAAATTATACGATTTTTTGAAAACAACGTTGTGTGCACGATGTTATTCTTGAAATGGGAGGGGGGAAAATATTTGTTTCTTTAAAAATGTGGTCCACACTGCAAAAAATGTAAATCTTAAGTATTTTTTTCTTAAAATAAGTGCATTTTATCTTGAATTGCGGAGATAAGAGATACATTTTGCCAATGGAACAAGACAATTTACATTTAAAATGAGAAAAAACAATTGCATTTTCTTATTTCAAGTGAATTTTATCTAATTATCTTATTTTAAGAGTAAAAATACTCATTCTATTGGCAGATCATCCTGTTTAACTACTGAAATTAAGGATAAATACACTTCATTTAAGAAATTTTTTACTTAGTTCTAGATCGTTTTTGCAGTGCAAGTCCCAATGCTGATTCCGGTGTTTGTTACAACGCCATATTATTCCATTGCACGCAGCTACAGCTCACGCTGTACGACGAAACCACAGCGTTTAAAAGTTCACAGCTCACCATGTTTGTTCTCATTTGTTCTCTACATTAAATTTTTTGGTTTTTAACTGTAGTGGGGGAAAAAAGTATTCAACTATTCTTCCCAGTTAAATAAACAGATCAATGGATTTAATTCAGTCGGCACTTTATTTTCATTTCTTTGCAAAGAGAGTTCATCATGTAGCCTTTATGGAACGGTAATCAGCCCTGTTCTGATCTAGACAGACGGTTCCTCCCTTACACACTGGAAAAAATCGAAATCTAGATAAGTTGTTTTTTCTTAAAATAAGCGTATTTGTTCTTGGATTTAGGAGGTAAAAGAGAGATTTTGCTAATGGAACAAGACAATTTACACTTAGAATAAGAAAACACAATTACATTGTCTTATTTCAGGTGCATTTTATCTAATTATCTTATTTTAAGAGCAAAAATACTCATTCCATTGGCAAACTATCTCATTTATCTACTCAAATTAAGCGTAAAGACACTTAATTTAAGACATTTCTACTTATTTTTAGATCCTTTTTCCAGTGCACTGGAAAAATTCAAAATCTAGATAAGTCATTTTTTCTTAGAATAAGTGCATTTGTTTTTGGATTAAGGAGGTAAAATATACATTTTGCCAACAGAACAAGACAATTTACACTTAAAATAAGAAAACACAGTTGTATTGTCTTATTTCAAGTGTGTATTATCTATTTATCTTATATTAAGAATAAAAATACTCATTCCATTTGCAAGCTATTTACCTACTCAAATTAAGGGTAAATACACAAATTTTATACTTATTTCTAGATGGTTTTTCCAGTGTACTTATGAGGAAAAAGCTGTGAAGTTTGTGTCAGAGTCAAAACAAATTACACACACTGTAGTTAAACAATAACAATTCTTGAGAAAGAATTTGTCTGGTTATGGAATAAATATTCTTTGTATGCAAAAAACTTCTGTTTGTTCTCACGCTGTGCGACCCGACGCTCCGATGCGATCTACCTGCTCACACTGTACGTCTAAAACCCACGTAGGACTCAGCTCCGCAGTTAGATGGCGCTACTCTGACTCATCTGAAGCTCACTAGAAACGCGCTGCCTTGGAAATTTTGTGCTGAAAGCACTAAAAAGAAAAGACGACGTATAAAGAGGGGAGAATGGCGCTAGGCTTACCGCACCGTGACGTCACTGCTGGAAGATGGCAGGAGGGAGGGGCTACTATATTTGGGCTAAAATGGCCGCTCCCAGACTCAGTGATCATGATGAAGATTATTATTTTCATTTTTTTTTTGCACTAAATTCATAAAAAAACTCCGCAAACGTAAGAGTTTTAGGTATAAATAATGATCCATTGATCGTTTCTTGCTAACCGGACTTTTCCTTTAAAGTTTGCTTTTCGTTTCATTAAACCAAGTCAACAAGATTGTCTGAACATTTTTTTTTTTTTACTCTCAAGGTTATAAAAGTCACAATTTCTTTATTGGCACCAAAAGTCACCATTTGACATACAATCAGTCAATAACATTTGAAAACAATCCAGAACCTTCTCCATCTTTCACTGCATCACATACGAAGTGCTTTCAACAGCCGAGGGAAGAAGTTCACCGAATCAGCGACCTTCTTTCCTCCGCTCTGCAAAAAATAGTCATTTTTACTTCAATTAAGTCATTTTTTTCTTGGATTGAGGATAAAAGAGACATTTTGCCAATGGAAGAAGAAAATTTACATTTAAAATAAGAAACTACTATTACTTTGTCTTATTTCAAGTGCATTTTATCTAATTATCTTATTTTTAGTGGTAAAAAAACTGATTCCATTGGCAGATCATCTTTTTTCCTGCTCAAATTTAGGTTAAATACACCTTTTTAACACATTTTCACTTGTTTATAGATCGCTTTTGCAGCGTAACGAGCCCAGACTGTGACCGTTCAGCCATCAGACGTCCAATGAGGAGTAAGAGTGGCAAGAAACTCCGTTCCGAGAGAGAAAAGGCACAAAGAGAGAGAGAGACGAGGACGACTTCCAGACAGCAGAGATAAAATACAGAGACGGGAAAATGGTTTCCGCTGTTCCTTCATACGCTTTTCGGTTTCCGATTGGAGGAATGTCGGTAGCTCTGATTTGGACACTGGAAACAAATCGAAATCTAGATGTTTTTTATTGAACTCGGGAAGAAAATTAGACACTTTGCCAATGGAACGTCTTTTTTTTAAGCGCATATTATCTTATTTTTGTGTTATAAGAGTAAAAAAAACCAATCCAACCGCAAAACCGCCTAATTAACCAACCAAAATAAAGGGAAGATACACGTCATTTAAGAAATGTTGACTTATTTCCAGATCGTTTTTGCAGTGGAGGGACATTTGGCACAGATTTCCATAAATACTGAGAGGAAAAACCCAGAATACTGCAGCAGAGAAATGATAGAGAGAGACGTAATGATTGTCGCAGCGGCTGGATGGAATGTCAGGAGTTTATTTTGTGATTATGGCGTTCCTGCAGGTCGTTACCTTCCTAATCCAGACTCAACTTCCTTTACGTTCCTTCTAAAATGTTAAAGTTCACCACTAATGTTTGGTGCGGGAAAGACATTTAGAGAGAGAAAAGACGACATTTAGAGGAATTAACTCTGAAAATACAATCATTTTTCAACAAAATCTCTTCTAGTCCTGTTCAGAATGAAGGAACTTGTGTTCTGTCAGACCACCATACCATAATTTGGTACGAAAAATAGACTTTAAACTACCTCGACGGGCATGTTTCCCTTTAGTCGTATACAAAAAAAATAAACAATTTAAGGTCAGATCGCCAAAAGCTTTAAAAAACACAAGAAAGTAAGTGATGAAATAGTTTTTATGAACATGGCTAAAGGGATACACGCCTGTTGAGGTGGTTTAAAGTTTATTTTATTTACAAAACTAAAGGGATAAATTAAATCCTGGTTCTGCTGGAGGTTTCTTCCTGTTCAAAGGGAGTTTTTCCTCTCCACTGTCGCTACAAGCATGCTTAGTGTGAGGGATTGCTGAAGAGTCAATGAGTCGATGCAATCAGCTGGTTTTCCTTAGATAGAAAACTTTGAATCAATCTGGTGAACTGGAAAGTAACCTGAGATGACATGATGTGAATTGGCGCTATAGAAATAGAGTGAATAGAATTAAAGGGATTAACAGGTATTGATGGCGGGTATGTTGCTCTGACTGAACACCAGCAGTGAACAGAACCAGGGAGGGAAAAGTTGCTCAGATGAAGCAGCAGCTGAAACGCTTTTATTCCTCCTGATTTCCATCCGATCTTATTTTTTTCTTCTCTGTCAGAAAAATAACTAAACTCTACCTGAGATCGGTCATTTAGCTTCTCCACAATATACAAAATATGCTTCTATAACTTGTTACAGATAATGATTTATTAGAAAAATATAGGTGTTGTGTTAAAAGAGGCTCTGCATCGAAATGAGACTTTTATATCTGCAGGAACGTAAAAGACAGGCGGAGCTTTGACTGCATTTACAAACGCTTCATTTTAACCAGAACTGGGATTCATGCGCTGGTTATTCTGGAATCTGCTGGTGTTGAACACGTTTACAACGGCCGACGGTAATGAGACAAACGGAGCTCATGGGTCGGCTTGGATTCCGCTCACGCATCCCAGCACATGGATAAACGAAGGAGTGACGCGTAGCGAGGGTGAAGCGTGAGTAAAATGAGGTTTCTTCTGGTTATATTGGAGAGAAACTACAGGAAGTTTTCAGTTCTGGGAAACCTGAATCCAACGGCAGCAACTTTTCAGTTTCCTGAGAGAAACGCCTGGAAAACCCTGAAGTTCTTAGTGGAATGGACTACATTACCCATAATTCCCCATTAAACTGGTCAGGAAGTCCATTTTCTTCTGCCTGTTGGAACGTATGCTTCTGAAAATGTGGATTATTAAAAGCTCCGACGACCAGAACCAGAATCTTGGATTAAACATGAGTGCGTCAGGGTCAACAGGAAACATGGTGGCCAGCAGGGGTTAGAGTCCTCGCCAGATGAGGAATATCTGTAATTCTGTTTGGGAGGCGTGGAAAAGGTGGGATCAGGTCGGATCTGGAGCTGAATTCCGGATCGGGGGCCTCTTTAGCTCGTGTCCTCCGCCCCGATGGGAAGCAGAGGGTCAGCTGCCTCGCTTCTCTCATTCTCGCCGCCGGTTTTCGCCGGGGTGTTCCCCGCCTGGTACTCGCTCAGCCGCCTCCTCTTCTTCTCCTCCTCCTCCTCCTTCTTCTTGGCTGCATCCAAATCCGGGAAAACCGGGAACTCCTGGCAGTACGCCGAGGGCAAACATGGTACCAAGTGGACTTCGCCGCTGTCCCTCATGAGCTGGACACAGGTGTAGAAATCCTGGACCGGCGCGTTGGCTGGGGGAGGAGCCGAGGTAGTGGCGGGGGGCGGGCCGGGATGCTCCATCTTGCTGTAGTCCGTCCCTGGAACAGAAATCATCTCAGGCGATTGCCACGGAGACGGAGAGTCCTGCAGCGCGGGGGGAGCCTGAGGAGGCGAGGCGCAGTACGGAGGAAGAGGCGGGGTGAGGACGTACGGCGGCGCGCTCTGGGTGGGAAACGGATTCTGAACCGTGACTGGTGCTCCTTTATCTCTGTCCAGGAGGTTGGGCGGGACGCCGCGCTCCTTGGAGGAGCTCAGGTAGATCCCGTCAGAGCTCACCTGGTCCCAGACCTCCACAGAGTAGCTCGGAGGTCTGTAGCCGTGGAAGTTGGTGAAGTGACGGTTGATTTCCTCAAAATTCCCCTTCTGAGGGAAAACGGAGAGGAGAGGGAAGGAAGGAAGGTTAAAACCTGGCATGCTGAGGAGAAAACAGTTCCTTTATTTTCTGTTTGGGGAGACTAAACTTTATTAACATATTTTTTTCTTATCCTAAAAGTAAACAAAAATACTGTAAAAATATTGGTTGAACTTTTGATTGAATAACAAAAAAGTTCCAGTTCGATCCTAAAAAATGTCCGTTTTTGTGTCTTTTCATGGAATATTATTGGAAAGCATTTCCCTCCAAACACAAGAGGCTAAAACATTTCCCAGAATGCATCATGTCACCTTCAGAAGCAGCGGGTCAATCCCGATGATCCGTGGTTTGGGAATGGGGGGGAAGAAGTAATCCTTTAGTCTGAACGAAAAAGAAAAAAAAAAAAAAGACATTTGAAGCACAAAGAGAAAAACAAATAACCAGATTTAAAGTGTTTGGTCACATTTCATACAGTTGGTTTTTTAAAGATGGTGATCTGTTCTCTAAACTCAAAGAGTCTTCCAGAATATCAGGAAAAGCTGCATCTAATATCTGCAGCGTGCATCGATGCTTCAACGGGGTTTAGAGAGGAATGAGTAATTTAATTCACTTTTAATGCTCTAATTTAAATGCTATTAACAAGTAACCATGACGCTCATATATATACGATAGAGTATCAGGGCCAGGCTAGAGATTCTTTTTCTTATATCACGAGAATAAAGTCGTAACTTTATGAGAATTAAGTCCTAAAATTACGAGAATAAAGTCAGAATATTACGAGAAAAAAGTCACAACGAGAATAGACCTAAAATTACGAGAATAAATTTGTAATATTAAGAGAGTAAAGTCCTAAAAATTACGAGAAACAACTCTTCCAGGAAGCCCCGTCTTCAGGTTCAATCTGGTTGCTGATTGGTGGAGCCGGTCGGCCGTCATCTGGTGGGCGGAGCTTAAAGCTTTCTTTCTGAAAACGGTTGTGGTATGAAGGCTTTATTCTCGTAATATTACGACTTTATTCTCAAAATAAAAAATATATTTCTTATTTATATATATATAAAAACATTCAATGTCGACAGGCTGCAGCTATGTACCCAATTCTTCGTTTTCCAGCCATTTTTTTGTTGAAATTCGCGCATTTTTCCTCATTCTCTAGCTTTTTCTCCACCTCGGGATTCTTTTCCAATCATGCAGCTTTGCGATCAACCGGAAGCAATTCCGCGCAAATATATCGCGATATATCTGACAAAATAGTTTTTTTATAAACGTATTTCTAAAAAACTTAAAATGTAGCATTTTATATGCCACATAAATGCCATAATCACATATTTTTTCCCATTTTAATTCCAATTAATTAATGCCTTGATTTAAAACAATAATAAATTTAATGACTTTTAATGATTTTTAATGCAATCCTGTTGAAATATTAACCATTTTGGGGCCGTTTCATCCTATGAGATGCTTGAGATCACAGCTTTTCCAACCATTTTCAGATATACACCTTCAGGCATCGAATTCCCATGCACCCACTCACCTCACTCATACACAAACACAGACGGTGGCTAAAGGTGGCTAAAGGTCACGCTAACTCAAGTGCACAATAGTATCAATGTGACCTTTCTACTTGGATGCTGGACTGAATGTGGATTCAATAAAGTCAGTCATGCATTTAGAACATCGTCTTTAAATGTCCATTTTGTAGAGATAAACCGCCCTGACACTTGAAGGCACCATAACACAACAAACGAAGGAGGAAAAGGTGAAAGAAGAAATGTAGGAAGGAAAGAAAAACATGGAAAGAAGGAAAAAGATCAGGAAATCAATACTGATATAGGAAGTAAATGAAGGAAAATGTCCTCCGTGAGACTCCGTGAGCTGGGCCAACATGCGATCTACTCATCCACGCAGACCCACAGGCGCCGCCCTGCTGGACGAGGCTGGTATATCACTCTATATACGGCTGTGTGATAATACAGACCAAGTCTTACATGGTTCTCTGCAAAAGGTCAGATTAATGTGAACCAAGCATCTATTCTATTCCTGCATAAAGTTGTTCAATTTATCGATACATTTACTTTAATCTTTGGCGCTCAGACCTCGGCAGAAATACGTAGCACTGAATCTTAATAGATATGCATGACCAGGAGCAAAGAATGGGGCTGTTTCCCCCCCAGGCCTGAAACTGGTGGAGTGGAGATAGATGGAGTTGGTCAGTCTGTAGACTGCTGGTTAGAAGATGGAAGTCCAGTTTGGATAACACAGGTTGAGAGAACCTGTCCATGATGAGAAAGCATGAAGCGACAGTGGAGAGGAACAACTCCCCATTGGGAAGAGGAGGGGCTGGAGGGGGGTTGAAACGGGGGTCATCTGAAAGGAAGTCACACGGCAAAACCACTGCAGACAAGCTGCGGATCGGAGGCCTTTTAAGATGAACTTCGGAAGCCGATTGGCTTTCCTGGAGGCGTGGCTCAAAGCTGATTGGCTGTCGTAGGCGGATAGAGGCGAGTTATGGGTTTGTTCGGTTGAACTTCCACCGAGGCTGCATAGAACAATGAAGTAAACTGAATACAAAATATTTGGAAGAGTTGAAGCTCTGTGGAAACGTAGTGTTGGTGACATCGCTGACTCCCGTGGTCGGAAAATGTAGTTTCTCTTATTTCATATATTGTTTTATGCAATTTACTCAATATAATGTTTTCACACAGCCTGTTTCACCTGCAGGGCCACACAATTCCCCATGAGGGGTGTTCGTAGACAAAATATATATATATATATATATATATATATATATATATATATATATATATATATATATATATATATATATATATATATATATGTGTATTGCACGCATTTTTATTATAAATTACAGTAATCTACTGATGCTATACAGTAAAACAGCCAGTGTGTGTCAAAGTGAATTTATCTTTATTTTAAAAGTCTTAAGTCCCCTGAAAATGAGAACATCATCGTTGGTCGATGCCGTAGCGCGCGGATTGTTTACATTGCGGCCGGTCTAACTAGGGAGTACCAATATGGCCGCACTACCAACAGGCAATCAGCAATCTAGTAAATACTTTTATTGCCAGTGGGAAGGGAGCTAAATACCGCTGGTTAGCGGGTCGGCCATGTTTGATAAACATGCGTTAACCTGCTATTTTCAGTAGAAAAGGGGCTTCTAAGGGCTGCATGGTGTTGTTATCATGGGACAGCGCCCTCTGTGGTCACACAGTGACATGACAATAAAAAAAAAAAAAGCAGGTTTCCTCACCTCCTGCTCTGAGGAATCACCCCGAAGGCAATGACCAGCAGGGCCACCAGCCCGACTCCCACCACCAGAACCAGGACCAGGATTTTCCCTGCAGAGAGAAACACGCAGACATTGTTCCACAAACACTTTGCTTAAAATTAAGAAAACTTAACTCAGGTTTAAAACCACATCAATGGTTAAGATGCCACCGGTTTATTTCTTATCAAAATAAAAGTCATTCAGGGTCCCCATCGCTATGGAAACCAGCAGTGCTGTCGTACCTGTGGGCCGCCTGAAGGGGATGCTGATGTGTAGAGTGGAGCTCCATTTACTCCACAGGCCGTAGTTGTGGGATCGGCATCGAACTCGGACCACGTATTCGCCGGATCGGAGGCCGAGCAGAACCACATGAGGCTCCCGCAGAGGATGCTTCACCTGCACACAGATGATGACCTCAGATCCCACAACATACAGACCAACGTGCTTTAAAAATTCAAGTTCTGAACCAACTCTGGGTCAGAATCACAGAAAACTCCACCAAAAATGGCCGTTTTAGGTTGAATCATTGGTCACTTAGTTACAGCAACCATTCACACAAAACTATTCGCTCCAAATTCTTCAGTTTAACTGAGTTTTATTTAAAAAAAATGTCATTGGCGGATTTACCACTAGGCA